CTCCTTTTTTATCACCTCTCTGTCTTCTTCACTGTGCTTAAGTCTTTTGTCAATCTGATTTAATTTCGCCAACAAGTCACCCAGCTCAATGTTAGTCTCTTCATGGTCAGCTGTCGGTCTCTCTTCGGCCGTAGCCTCTGCTTTAGCTTGTTCCTCTCTTGGATTGGCTTCTGAGGTCTTCGTGCTCACTGTCCCAAACGTTCGTGCTCTTTCTGCTTTTGGTTCTTCAGTCACGTTTTCTTTTGTTTTTATTCCGAACATTATTCCCAATTTTTCCGTAAAAGATGTCCTCTTTACTTGAGAGTCTTCTTTCACCGTTTCTTCGGTGTTGCCTATTGCATTTTCCGCGTCATCTATCGGTGAGAACTCTATGGGATTCTGGTTCGGTTCCTCTGCATTGGGCATTGGAGTTGACTCTGTCGCCATCTTCCTTGTTTCATCCACACTTTGATCGGGTGTCTCTAGATCAATCTCGATGGTGGGTTCTACTCGCTCCCCTTCCGTGCCCTCTTTCGCCCTGTTCTCCGCTGTACTCCTTGTGCTGACCATGTTAACTGAAAAGTTCGTCTTCGTTATCTTTGGGCCCGTTGATGTCGTTCCGCGCAGCGATGAATTATATTTCGTGTTTGATCCACTTGACCTTTTTTCGAGCACCGGTACCCTACTCCGCCTCATTATTTCTATTTACAACTGCTTCTATTTACAATTTTATTATATACACGATTCTATTCTAAGGGTAAAAAAAATATTTTTTGTGGTAACAAATTCTGTACAACGTGTTAAAAACCTTATCTAATTCTCTTTCTAAAACCTCCGAAAAATTTTCCTTAATTTGGTCTTAACCCTACCTATTTCGATTTGTCTTATTCTGTCTTAAAACGCACTTGTTGTAATTTGACTTCAATTTCTATACCGTCCCAAGACTATTCGTCACTATCACAGTACTCTCCGTTAGTGTCCTAAGACCCTTGTAATAAGATCACTGTTCCAAGACTAGTGTCCCAAGACTACTGTCCCAAGCGTAGTGTCCCAAGACCAGTGTCCCAAGACTACTGTCCCAAGACTAGTGTCCCAAGGCTAGTGTCCCAAGACTACTGTCCCAAGACTAGTGTCCCAAGGGTAGTGTCCCAAGACCAGTGTCCCAAGGCTGGTGTCCCAAGACTAGTGTCCCAAGACTAGTGTCCCAAGGGTAGTGTCCCAAGACCAGTGTCCCAAGGCTGGTGTCCCAAGACTAGTGTCCCAAGACTAGTGTCCCAAGGCTAGTGTCCCAAGACTACTGTCCCAAGACTAGTGTCCCAAGGGTAGTGTCCCAAGACCAGTGTCCCAAGGCTGGTGTCCCAAGACTAGTGTCCCAAGACTAGTGTCCCAAGGGTAGTGTCCCAAGACCAGTGTCCCAAGGCTGGTGTCCCAAGACTAGTGTCCCAAGACTAGTGTCCCTAGACCACTGTCCCAAGACTGTCCCAAGACCACTGTCCCAAGACCCTGTCCCAAGACCACTGTCCCAAGACCCCTGTCCCAAGACCCTGTCCCAAGACCACTGTCCCAAGACCCTGTCCCAAGACCCTGTCCCAAGACCCTGTCCCAAGACCACTGTCCCAAGACCACTGTCCCAAGACCCTGTCCCAAGACCACTGTCCCAAGACCCTGTCCCAAGACCACTGTCCCAAGACCACTGTCCCAAGACCCTGTCCCAAGACCACTGTCCCAAGACCCTGTCCCAAGACCCTGTCCCAAGACCACTGTCCCAAGACCACTGTCCCAAGACCCTGTCCCAAGACCACTGTCCCAAGACCCTGTCCCAAGACCACTGTCCCAAGACCACTGTCCCAAGACCCTGTCCCAAGACCACTGTCCCAAGACCCTGTCCCAAGACCACTGTCCCAAGACCCTGTCCCAAGACCACTATCCCAAGACTGCTCTGTCCCAAGACTTCTTCGGTCTTGTCCCAATACTCGTCACGGAGTGTCTTCCTCGTTGTAGGGTCTTCTTGAACCACCGTACCTTGTACCACCACTCAAGCTCTAGTAAAATTTTCCCAAAAACCCTCTCTTAAAAGCCAAATGCTGACCCCCCTCTTCTTTTTGGTTGTTTCTATTTCAATGTAGGTGCGCAGGTATCTTGTGATCACCTGTTCGTATAAAACCAAACACAAATCCTCAATAACATGCAACAAAAAATTTTAAGTAAGAAAAATAATAAAAACAGAAAAATGAGCCCACCTAAAATTTAAAGGTGACCAATGTCTACCTTTCGTCTAAAAAAAAATGTCTGGTACCTAATTGCCACGCGTTTTCCTCCCCCCACTAGTGATCTTATGGGGTATCACAAAAGCTGTCTATATCCGGTCCCCCCTACCAAACCAACCAGCGTACCAGCCTTAACTCGAGTTGGATTTTGGATCTCCACCTAATATTACCAACGCGTATTAATTTCTAATGTAACTAAGTCAACGATGTCGACTAATTAGTTACTCTAATTTCCCCCTTTTTGCAATTTACAACCGCCAACCTCTAGCCTAACCAGTCCCCCTTCTAACCTCCCCCCTTTCTAGCCCCCCTTCTTAAGCCTAAAAATTACTTTAAGCGGCGGGTGCTAAACCTCTCAAGAGAAAACCGTAGACCTGTTTCCAGGCCTGCTCAAGTAAAAACGTTCCTCAAAACTGGGGGATTTCGCTTATCCAATTTTACACTTATTTCCTATAATGTAATGTGGATTCTAACGATACCCGTTCTGCCCAACTTGAGAACTCGAGAATTGCCAAATCCTTCTTGGCTGCTTTCCCACTCGACTGGTCACCTGTTCCAGTCCAGTCTCCTATTGGTTCAGCCAAGTGTCCCTGAACCACTTTCCCACTCGGCTGGTCACCTCTTCCAGTCAAGTCTCCTATTGGTTCAGCTCAAGTGTCCCTGAACCACTTTCCCACTCGGCTGGTCACCTCTTCCAGTCAAGTCTCCTATTGGTTCAGCTCAAGTGTCCCTGAACCACTTTCCCACTCGGCTGGTCACCTCTTCCAGTCAAGTCTCCTATTGGTCCAGCTAAGTTCCAAGCTATCTGAAAACCCTTGACAACGCCCCACTTCGGGCACTTTATTCAGTTTACTGGTTTAAATTGCTAGGTTGATCGAAACGATCGAACTTGTAAAACAGTATGGGTATACTATTTAATTAATATAAAGGTTTGATCCAACTAATCTGGTGTCAAAGTCACTGTCTTTTTTCGTTTTATGGTTTTTGTCCCTTTTTCTATTCTTTTTTGGTTTTTGTTTTGCTTTTTGTCTTTTTGCTCGTGTTTTTGTCCCCCTAGTTGCCCCCCTTTACTCGGTTAGCTAAGCCTCGTTCGGAGAGCGTACCAGGAAATTTTCTCGAGTTTTCTTAAAAAGCTATCACGGTACAACCGGAAGGTTTGCACGTTCCTGTCGAACCGTACCGCCGGTACTCTAGAATGGGCATTCAGCCCGAAGCTGTCTCAAGTGGGTTCGACTCCGTAGTGTTGATGTCGTAAACACCCAGGAGCGCCATAAAAACACTATGTAACATTCGTCTACTACAGTCACACATGAGGCTTAAGAAAAATAGGCCCTATAACTATTGGCTCAGGAGTCAGGGACACTATCTCTTGTGTTTTTCCGCCTCAAATCAGTCGGAGCCAATTCGGTTCGCTTGTGACATGAGACTACGACCCGTTACAGCTTAAAGGCTACTACTAAAATATCCCCCCACTCTAGAATTAGAAACGTCCCCATACTTAGGTCTCTAGATACCCAAAATACATGAACGCCGTTAAAAACCGGGTTGGAACAATCCGTTAAGTTACTTTTTATTAGACAGTGTAACTTTGATCCATTTCAGATGGATCAACCTAAAACTCGCCTTACCTCAACATAACAATCATAAAACACACTCTAGAAATTTAAATTAAGGACTCACATGTTGATGCGCTCAAGCACAGGAAGTAATTAAATGGGTGAGCAACTCTAGAATTAACTAAAGTAACTAGATAAGTTCAATGTTTATCAGTTTGAATGGTAAGGGTAAGTTTGAACTCAAGAACGAAGTTTTATGTGGACCATTGGGACACTCAAGCTGTCCACCTTTCCGTCGAAGGTTCACTCTGGTCCAGTTCAAATAATTACTCTCTCGGGAATACTCTGTCTTCTATTTCAGATAGGACAGCTCTACTCTTGTTCACTATGATGGAAATTGCGAATAGCAATTTCCCACTCGTTTTTATCTGACAACTTTCCCGCAATTGTTCTAAAATTGTTCTGATATTGTTCTGATCTCTTTTTCTGATTTTCAGTTCTCGCGAGAAAATCGTGCATGACAGGTTCCATTCGAAATTTTGAAAAATTAAATTTCACTCAAAAATCAAGTGTTTTTTGCTTCTCTCAAGGTCAAACTTCCAAATATGACCGACTGGCACACCTCTCGCCAACACATTTTCCGATATTTGTTCCCCATTGATTCTGTTAACAATTGAGTCTCCCAGTAATAGGCCAGAATATTCTCCTTCTCGTGGTAAAACTAAATGTTTTCCTTCCTCTCGCCAACACCAACTCCAAATCCTCTCGCCAACACATTTTCCGATATTTGTTCCCCATTGATTCTGTTAACAATTGAGTCTCCCAGTAATAGGCCAGAATATTCTCCTTCTCGTGGTAAAAATAAATGTTAGCCGTCCTTCCTCTACAATAGCGCTATTTTCTCGTGTCGACTTGTGTTCTTATTGAAGAAACTTAACCCGTATCGAGTTTAATTATAAACAAATCAGCAATAATCATCTTCTTTTTATCATTATCACTTCCATATTTATAAAGTTGCAAGGGTTTTGACTGGAATATGTGATGAAGGGACTCCTGACTGTAACCTCGGTTGCTATGGTACTCTTGACCATCTTGTAATACCTTAACTAGTTTTTTTTGCGTGTTGAGTTGCGCGTTCTGATCGAAAAAACGGAACTCGTATCGAATTCAATTTTAATCACTACTCTTATCATCTCCTGACTCTTGACACAACTCTAAGGGACTCTTGACTGTAAACTTGGTTACTATGATACTTTTGACCTTCTGATTATGTATAAAAAATAAAATAGAAAGAATTTAAAAGTTTTTGTAAAGATTTTTTCAGGTTTGTCATGATCATAAACATCAATTTTTGTCCTACTGAACGTCGTGCTCAAATTTATTTAATGATTTTTATCTTTATCTTTTGCCTTTTCCACATCCTTCTTCTGTTTTACATGACATCTTTTATAACATCTGCTGAAGTTCACTCAGAACAGAACCATGAATTGAAAGATGAAACAACTATTATATCTATGGTACTTCCTTTCGAGTTGAAAACTGAAACGATAACTAGTCGAAACTGCACATTTACTAATTGCTTCAACGTGAACTGCTGTTTGCAAAAGTTTGCTAATGTACCTTTGAGAGATGATGAAGGTAAAGAACAATGTTTGCGTACAGATTACCAGTTTTACGATGAGATCAAAAGAGCTTTTCGAACTCATTTTCCTTCGCCAGATTTTCCTGGAAATTGTTCGTGCTTGAATTTGTGCAAAAACGATTTGACTGACTTAAGCAGGTAAATATTTTATCGAATCTCATGTAGGTTTAACTAGCATATCTTAATAAGGAGTGCGGTCTGTGTTCAGACAACCGCGTGCTCATACTCGTCAGTAAGCAGACAAATACCATATTAACCAATCAGAATAGAGACTAGAACGCAAATTTACGAAATAAATAATTGGATAAATAATAATTATTTCTTTTGTAAATTTGCTTTCTCCTTTCGATTCTAATTGGTTAAAACAGTATTTGTCTGCTTACTGACGAGTCGGAATACGCGGTTGTCTAAGTACTGCTACGTAACCTCTTAATAAATAAAATCTTATACGTCTTTTTATAAGATCTTAAACATTGCTGTATTGGCTAAATTGGGCGCCCAAAAACTTATCATCTGAATTTTACCTTAATACCTGGGAAATGCTATTCCCATAGCCCGATGACCGGATACATAGCCCGATGACCGGATGCCCAAAGCTTCCGTAATACATGGAGCGTCTATCTTAATACATTGAGGTCTTCAATGGTATCGTCTGTCTCTTTGTGACAGACGATGCCCTTGTGACAGACGTAATTGTTGTGATAAACTTTTTAAATAGTTTCAGATGATTAATACAAAATGGTTTAGTTTGTGGGGGCCAGCTCCCTAAATTATCTGAAGTCATCACTGGAGCGAAGAGAACTTCAACGTTTTGCATGTCAATCCACAATTTCATTTTTGTTCAAGTCTGTAAGCTTGTATGTTACATCCGTGGGTTAATCAATTATTTGGTACGGTCCTTTTCGGAGTGGTTGTAATTTTTTTAGAAATACCTTTTTGTGTTGTAAAGTTTGGAATTAAAACATATGTTCCGATTCTTAAGTTTTTAGCTGGCGTAAATCGGGAATTTATTTGGGAATTTATATTTTGTCTTTGTAACAATTTTTTGGTTACTTTCTGGTAAATTTCGTTGTTTTTTGTCTCTGCTTAAAATCCATTCGGTGTGTGTTCCGGAAGCTAATTTTAAAATTTGTGGATGATGAAAATGATCTTCATCGTGGGTATGTAGTGGTAGATTGTAACATATTGATTCTTTAGTTGGTTGGCAATAACCTTGTGCATTTTTTGAAGAATTTGCTGCGAACATTATTGGTTTCCGTGTTTCTGGTTGAAAACCATTTCATAGGGTGATAGTCCTATGGTTGTTGTTACCTGTGAATTATAAGATAGTGGGAATAATTTCACATCTGTTGACCATTCAGTATATCGTGTGTCATTTCCGTTAATGATACATCTAAGATATTCTTGTAGTGAACGGTTCATGCCTTCGACTAAACCATTAGTCCAAGGTGCATGAGATGAACGTGGTTTGTGTTTAATGTTATATAAGTGGCATAGTGTAATGATTTCGTTATTTATAAATTCAGTGCCATTGTCTGTAACAAGGATTTCGGGTACACCGAATTTTGCTATCCAGTGTTCATAAAGTGTTGTTAATGCATAATAAGCATTACAATGAGGTACTGGGTTAAGTACTACCTAGTGTGTGAATGCGTCTACTATTACCATTATATATGAGTTTCCTTTGAGGATGGTGATATTGGTCCTTTTGTATCGAAAGAGATTCTGTGATTGAAATATAAACTTTGTGCTTTAAAATCTTGTTTTTCTGCGATTTGTTTTTGATTTGGGTATGGTTTGTTTAATTGACGTGTTATGCAATCATTGCATAATACTTTTATCCAACTTGGTGCATTTGGGTAATAAAAATTTTGTGTAAAATTTGAATATGTTTTTTCTGCTCATGAGTGTCCTTTAGTGTGTGAAGAGTGAGAGGTATGGAAAGCTATAAGCATCATGCTTAATGGTAAGCAGGGTACTTTGATATCAGGTGTTTGGTTTTCTAGGATATCCGTGTTTTCATTGATAGAGGTGTTGTTAAATTTTCTGATATATCTAAGAAGGGTTTTGTTTCCTAGTATGGTTGTATCGGCTTTAAGTGACTTGGTTTTATATTTGTGCCAAGATTTTAACTGTCTAATGACTGGGTTAAGGTTTTGTTGTTTTTGTAACAGTTCGAGTGTTATTTTTTCTGTTATTGGTAGAAAAATGTTTTCAATTTCCAATTTTGATAGAGTTATTGTATCTAGTGGGTCATGGAGGTTAAAAACATGGTTAATTGTTCATTTTTAATCAGTATTTGGTGGGCCTGATGAATTTAAATTATCAGTGAGATTTTTTTTTCTATTAAAGGCAATAGACCTTTTTATTATATTTTTTGTTTGACTGGTTTGTGATGTGTATTGTTTTTTATCCATGAAGAGTATGGTATCGGTTTGAATGTAGACGTTCCTAGTAAATCTACTTCGTAGTGATTATTTTGGCAATCTAGATATAGTGGAAAATGTTGTAAATTTTTTATTTGTGATTGGTCTATATCAGTTTTTACTGCATATTTGCATTGTAATCTTGATGATGTTTCATGTTTTGCAAGGAAAAATTTTATGTTTTGTGGTATTTCAACTTTTGTTTTTCGTGTTAACAATTCAGGTGGTGCATTTCTACTGAGAGTGTCGGGTAGTGCAAGGTTTTTTCCTGCTGTCCAAACTATATGTAAGTTTGGAAATTTCATTAAACTATGTTGAAATCTGTAAAATCTATGGTTTGGGTTTGATTTTTGTGTAAATAGAAAAATTATTGGTTTATGGTCTGTAAATAAAACTGTTGGATGTCTAGATCCAAGTTTTAAATATTCATAAGTGTATATATTATAGCTGTGCACTCTCTCATAAGAGTAGAGAGTCTAAGTTCAGCTTGTGTGAATAGTCTAGAAGTGGCTGAAATGAGGTGCATTTTATTTGTTCCATTGTGAGATTGTAATAATGCTGAGGCGATACCATAATTGAAGGCGTCGTACATAGCATAAAATGGTTGACCGGGATCTGGGATAGTGTTTGATAATTGTTCGGTGAGAAGAGTTTTTATCTTTTCGAATCGCTTTTGATGTTCTGTTGTCCATTCAAAATTATTTTGCTGTCTAAGGATGTGGTAAAATGGTCTTAAGTATAGCTGCATTTTGTATACGTATTTACTTAAGAAGTTCAATATTCCAAGGAATTCTTGTATTTTTTTCTTATTTGAAGGTGGTTGGAGTTTTTGGATTGCGTCTATACGAGATTTTAATGGAGTTATAGTGTTTCTTTCTATAATATGTCCAAGGAATTTTTCTCGTATTAGGAAAAAGTGTGATTTATCTGGGGCGGCTTTCATATTTTCTTGTAGTAATATTTGACGATTTTTTTCTAAGACAGTAAACATTTCGTCTTTTGTTTGTGATTGCATAAAAACATCGTCTAAATATGTGATTGCATTTTTATTGAGTATTAATGGTCTGAAAATTTTACTCATAAATGCTGAGAATGCTGCTGGTCCTATGGAGATTCCATAGAATAATCTGTTGAATTCGTATTGTTGATTTCCAATAACGAATTGTGTTAATCGTCGTGTTCGTTCATCTAGCGACCTTTGATTATATGCACTATTCATGTCTGCTGTTGTAAAGTATTTACCGTTTATTTTTGTGAGAATTACTTAATTTCGTTCAATAGGCCAATTACATTTAGATTCATCAATTAGTGAATTGAGATATCTCGCATCAAGAACTGTTTTTAATGATTCTCCTTTTGCTAGGATGATAACGGGGTTTGTGAATGTGTTACCTTTTGGCTGTTCTTCTTTATTTACTGGAGTGATGATTTATATTGTTCTAGTATTTCAAGTAATCGGTTAACTTTATCTTGCAAGTGAATTGGGACTTAACTTGCTCGTTGCTTTTTGAAAACTGCTTCAGGTTTTAGGGGTAAATGTAATGGTGAATTTATTTTTCCAACATCAAATTTTGATGTTGCGTAAACTTTTGGGTATTTTAATAATAGGTCAGCTAATTGTTCGAATTCTTTTTGTGCTATCTGAGAGTGTTGAAAATTAAACATTGTTAGAAATTTTTGCTGTTCTTTCGTGTATTTTGAAATTTGAAATGGTTTGAAATAGGATGTCTTTGTGAAATAATCTGTTTTTCGTTTTTCATTGCTTAAAATATTATTAATTGACAATTCTTCATCAAGAATTGTTGATTGGCATATATCTAATAGTTGTAGAATGTTATTTACTCTATACGCTGTTTCTTTTGTGGGAGAAATTGTTGCGTTAGTTTCACAATAACCTAAGAGTCCTAGAGGTAAGGTAATTTTAAATGGAAAATTGAAATGTGTAGAGAAATCATATCAGAGTTTGAGTCTTTCATGTATTTAATAGATGAAATTGTTACTCGGGAAAATTTGTGAATTGGTCTGAATTCAAGGTCAGACATAAAGAGATGTTGTTTGTTTTGCTCTGTATCATATTGGTGAATTTATTTGATCGAAAAGTTATACATGTTTCCTGATAGTGGTTTCATGTGTTTTCTTTCCTGATTATATATGGGGTGAAGTTTAGAGAAAAATCGTGGTTGTTTGTTTAATCTTTGAAAAATTTCAAAGAGGTGTTTTTCATTCTTGTGTATTTGTCTTTTATATGAATTTTACTATTGAAGATATTTGTTGTTGGTATATATTTCGTAATAAATGGTGTTCCAATAATATTGTGTTTTATATCAGTGATATGGAAGGTTTGTTTAAATGGTTTGCTCATGAGTTTGTTTTGTTCCATTGTTCGAGTGGGAACAGGGAAGAGTTGGATTTTCCCATAGTTTGTTAAGGTTGATCCTTGTGCTGTTGCTAGTCTACTTGTTGTTTTGAAGGGTTTTAATTGTGGGTGTAGAATTTTGATCTCATTCCAAGTCGGAATGTTTATAATATTTGATTCTGCTCCAGAATCTTTTAAAAAAATCTATTTCAAGGTCTGGTGTTTGCAATTGTTTGGATTTTGAACTTTGTAAAAGAAATGAGATTGTCCATATCTTTTCTTTTTTGTAATTGGGTTTCTTTAGGTATGTTTTGATAAATAGTATTTGTGTTTGAGCATTCTGTGGAATTTTTTTC